GAGTGTCCCACAAGAGTGTCCTGCAAGAGTGTCCCACAAGAGTGTCCCACAAGAGTGTCCCAAATGAGTGTCCCACAAGAGTGTCCTACAAGAGTGTCCCACAAAAGTGTCCCGCAAGAGTGTCCCGCAACAGTGTCCCGCAAGAGTGTCTCACAAGAGTGTCCCTTAAGAGTGTCCCACAAGAGTGTCCCACAAGAGTGTCCCGCAAGAGTGTCCCACAAGAGTGTCCCGCAACAGTGTCCTGCAAAAGTGTCTCACAAGAGTGTCCCTTAAGAGTGTCCCACAAGAGTGTCCCGCAACAGTGTCCCACAAGAGTGTCCTACAAGAGTGTCCCACAAGAGCTGCCTACAACAGTGTCCCACAAGAGTGCCCCACAAGAGTGTCCCACAAGAGTGTCCTACAGGAGTATCCCACAAGAGTGTCCTACAAGAGTGTCCCACAAGAGTTTCCACAGAGTGTCCCACAAGAGTGTCCCACAAGAGTGTCCCACAAGAGTGTCCCGTAAGAGTGTCCCACAAGAGTTTCCTACAAGAAGATCAGACGCCGCAATTGTTGATTTCTCTGTATTATGTGGATGGTTATCATTTTCAAGTGCTTATTTTCGAGATTTTGGGACAATGCCATTGTTTCTTTCGTGCCGCGGATCTGCCAGAACCTTTACGTCAGTGCTTGATTTGAATGCAAAACAAAGATCCTTCATGATGAAGACAGAGCTTGGTGGTGAAGTCCCCAGCGCATGCTGCCTTGGTGGTGGAGTCCCCAGCGCATGATGTCCAACAGCGTGTCAAAGAGTGAAAAAGAGATTCTGACCGGCTGCGTCTCTTTTTATACACAGTGGTTTGACGTATGTGTTTGCATTCGGGTTCGTGGGCTCCATCTTGTTTTCTTTTCTTTTTAAACGTATATATATTTACGATATATTATATATTATATAAATATTACATGTTCTTCAAACATTCTCACTGCGTCGTTTTCCCTTTGGGGATCTTTGGGGATTCTCAGGAGATCTTCCTCTCTTGGCTCCAAGAGCGTCTCTCGTGACTTGGCGTCTCTAGCACATCTCTGTGGAGCCTGTTTGGGACAGAAACGGAGACAGAAAGAGTTCAAGGTGTTTTGGGGTTTACTTGCAAGGACTCTGAAAAGATTACTTTTGACATGCCGGGTTATTTGACGGTAGTGAACAATCCGCCTGGGCCACTCAGATATGTCACCCCAAGAGGTTGCATAATATATTTCACGCTCTCTGGCCACTCAGGTGCACTCTGGATGGTCAGGATTGCTGGGCCGGCTTTGGCGTCTGCGTGAGCGCGTCGATGAGATCATGTCAGAGATCATCCATTCGGATTGACGGATTGCTGTAACAAGTACAAAAGCAAGCAAATCCAGTATCTCCCATACAATTTTACAAACCAGGATGTTGTTGATCATCCCTTCCTTTGGTTTCCCTCTTGGTCCTTCACAGAAGAACTGTTTTCCCAGACCAGATGAGATTCTTATATAGATAATTGAGAGATGCAAGGCCCAACAGTTGATTGCCACATCGAGGCCATGGTCCTCCAACGTCCGTGTGGACGGTCCTTGGCGTATCAAGCACTTCGATCACGGTCTTGGGACCCGGCACGCTTCGCGCATGGCTTCCACACGGCGGGACGCCGCACGTTCCTGGTGAGGAGACCTCCTTTGGGCATTTGCCGGACGAGCACTGCGAGACCCTTGTGGAGTCCTTTCTGGAAGCACTCAAAGACTCTCGACGCTTCTGCCAGGACGGGCCAACGTCGCAGGACGTGATTTCCGCTGTTGCTGGCGGTGGTCGAGCTTCGGACGGGAGGAAGGACACACAGGGACTATGTGATGGAATTGGTGACCCTTTATGGCACATTGGACTAGGTAGCTGGCTTGGAAGATCACTTCCCATCACGGTGTGTTCCCTTTCGTGCATCCGCCTCGTCGGGTGACACGAGACTGACCCCTGACTGTCGGGTGGGCAGAGACTTTTGAACTCGGCTGTGATTGTTTTCACGTTGCTGTCAATCAGAACATACCGTCATGGGGAACTTCGGGTGCCGGGTTGTGACCTAACTGGTCGGAACAGCGAAGGCCTTTTGATGGTCTGGTTGCTCAGGTTGTTGATCGGCTCAGAGGCTTTGGACGAACCAGCTTGCCCCTCAAAGCCTACTAACCTGTCGCCCAAGAAGCCAACCAACTGCTAGTCTACACCAGTTGGGAAACACATATGTTCGTGCTTCCAGTTGCAGGGACCCTCAGTTTTTGCCTCCATTTCTTGGACTTCGCAGGAGACGGCTCAGTCCTTCGAGCCACCCAAGGCTGCATTGTGGGCCCATCTTTGTGTTGCGGGATTGTTTTCGTGGGTGCCCTTGGGACCTTGGCTTCTAGTTGTTGAGATTCAGCAACTCCAACTTTGGGAGAACCTGGATCAATAGGCCGTTGGCGTGGTACAGAGTAGAGAGGACACATGACCATTTCTACTACTCACAGGGGGGGTCTCAGGGAGTTTAGCTTTTTGGAATACATGTGCCACGTGGTGAAAAACCTCTGGAAGTCCTCTTGGAGTCATGGTCCAAAACCGAGGCCAAGCCTTGAGATTCAAGAGGCTTCTTAAAGTTTTGTCCAAGCCATGATTGAACTGCTTGGAATTTTGTAGGGCGTTTATCAAAGAAGGATCATCCAGGGATGGAGCTGTTGCGATGCGCAGCCTTTCGCAGCGCAACCGATTTCCTCGTCACACGTGTGTGATTGTTCGACCCCGTTTGTTTGACGTTATGTTCATGTTTGGGGCATCATTGGGGTCATTGGCAAATGTGTTTCTTTGGGCTAATTTACAATGTCTCCATGGTATCCTCAATTCGCACACTTCTCGCATGGAAGACCGGTGGCTTTGGCATGAGTAAGGTTTCGGATTGGTGTTGAAGAGCTGGGGCATTGTAAGACAGGCAAGCAGCTCGAGTGATATCCTTCCAGTATTCTTTCACTACTCGTCAGCACATGAGTCTTGTGAACTGAGGGAAGTTGAAATTCATCCAAGTTTTTGAAGTTCTGCAGGAAGATGATGCGGAAGAAAGTCTCAGCGATCAACTAGAAAAGCTCCTTGCGAAGTACGAGGATACGGAGACCATGCAAGACACAAGCTGCTGGATTGAAGGGTCTCACAGGTGATGGATGGTGATGGATTTCAGATGATTTGAGAATACAGGTCGTCAGAGTCATGATAGGTCTTTGGTCCCAAGCCACCCCGGTCTTAGGTCATGGGATTTTGTTCAACATGGCCCTCTGGGGCCTCGTCCCTTCTTGTTCACGAAAGCGGGCTGGCAGAGACCCCCAGCGGCTTTGCAGAGAGCATCGGTCGCTGTGATCAAGGTACTCAATCCACTGGTGTCAATGAGATACCTCCAGATCTCACTGGTGAGCTGGCAGCGCTACAAGAGCACTGCTCCGCGTGCGATGCCTTGGAGGAGAAAGTGCCTCTTGGCCTGCACCTGAAAACACATGAGGAATCCATGCCGGCTGAAGGAAAACCATCACTTAGCTGCTTAACAGTATATACAGGCAATCAGCTTTTCCAAAGTCAACAATACAAGTACTCACTTAGCTGCTGCTGCTGCTGCTGCTGCCCACATGTGTTTTGACCGTTTAAACATACTTTAAACGTTACTCAATCTCCTTACAGCAGGGCGTTGGGTACCGCGATGGTCGTCCTTGGCGAGGTCGTCCTTGGTCCCGTGCCTCCATGGCGACTATCCAACGACCCGTTTGGTCGTTGCTCTGGCGGCCATGGAGATGGGCCAAGACTTAGCGCGACATGGGGAACTGCCTGGACCCTTTCAGAGTCTGTCGAGTGCCGATGTGCCTCGTCGTTGGGGATATATGGTGCTTGGTTGAAAACCGGGCAGAAGAGGCTCCGGAGGTGCTGCAGGACAGGTGGGGAAGAAATGCGGCGGTTGTTCTGCTGGTTGGAGCCGGGTAGCCTAGAGGCAGCACTTTTCCAGGAATCACTGCATTCTCATCCGCCATGAGAGTCATCCTGGTTTTGGGTGACCAGCTACAGAGGCATTTGGAGTGTTCAGATTGGGGCACCCACACCAAACCTAGTTGGACCATCAATGACCTCTTCTTCGTCAACAGAAGCTGGAGCATCTCTCTTCGGGGTCTAGATCTCTCTTGGACTCCAATGGATGATCCAACTACCTGCTACTCCCTGAGAGCGGCCAGGCGGCCTCTTCTTTGCACCCAAAGCATACACATGCACACATGGTGTTTTTTTGCTTCGCCCTTCTCCTTTCCTCCAAAACAGCAAACATTGAAAACATAAGAGCATGGGGTTTAGGACTTTTGAGCTTCAACACAGGGTAACACGTTAAACCATGGCGGATCTCACCGGCACAGAAAGTATTGTCTAAACCACACTTCATCAAGTTTAAAAAGCATTCCCACAAGCATGACTAGCTCAAACCAAATTTCATCAAGTCCACATTACCTGCCGACAAGTTGCTACGATTGTGGTTGGGGTGGGCTTGGGGGTTCTGACTACTTTCTGAGGGTGTAAGTGGAGCCGTGCATCATTGTATTCTTCTGGCCTGGGTCGCTCCGGCTGCCTCGCCACTCTGCCGCCCAGGTCTGCTGGGGGCTGGTCTCCGAAAAGCGTCGCTTAGTGGCCCGGCCCCGACGCCGGCGACCGTGGCGGGGCCTGGTCCGACCTCCCTCGGGGGCCCGCTCGGCCGTTCGGGGATTCGGCAGAGTGCGCTTTCCGTTTTGGAACTGAAAATCCATGCAACTTCCATGGTGGCAGACACTGGTTCTTTTCCTTTTAGAATAAAGCAATGGTCACATGTGGGTTCTCCATGATCATCCAAAACGTATTTCGTAAATACCTACCCTCCTTCCAGCAGTTGTGGAAGTGGACCATGGCCACTTGGAAGATTTCCTTTACCAACAGGGTTTTGCCAAGTCCATCTTTATTGGATGCAGGGTAGGGGGTAGCTGTTTTATTCTTACAGTTTCTACCCTATCAGTGACGGGTGACTTTCTCCCGAAAACAATGATGTATCTTTATAGACATGAATGCCAGCCAAGGAGAGAGACATCCTTTCCAATCTACCTAGCAATGGACACCTTTCCTATCTCTTTGGAAAGAAGAGATGTCTGAACTCCCCAAAGGTGTTGTCCAGAACTCCTTCAGAGGTGATCATATGTTTTCGACCATGACTCCTGGTATCTTCCGTGAGAGTTGGAGGCAAAAGCCTGGCAGGATCCATCAATTGAACCGACATTTTTTTATTGCTTTGGAGGAGAATCTTGGTGGTGCCCAGTGTCCCCGGTGTGTCCTTTCTTCATTTATCTTCCGCCAAAAACTGTCTCAACTGCACTGTCTCAGCATCCTGCTGTGGCACGTGCCGCGCGCCGCTGGATTTTTCCGAAGGTCTTGGAGACCCTTCTGGGCAGCGGCCCCGTGTCCTGGCCGGAGCTCCGGTGCTCGAACGTGGCCTATTGGCTGGGCACGCGGCAAGCGCAGAGCCTGGAGCTGGTGGAGTTCCTCCTTACGCAGCTCGGCAACAGATTTGGTGAACTTTTTATGAATTTTTGAGGGTTGAAGTGGCGGGCCTCTCCCAACGAGTTGCTCTAGTGGGTGCTGATCTACTGGTGGTGGAAGATGGAATGGTGCAGGATGTTGCAAGTTTTGCTTCTGAAGAATCAGAAAGAATCAGGTCGTTTTCTTTCTTTGTCGCCCCACCGTGCCCTCCACCAACCGTTCCCTAGAAAGCTTTCCCAACCCCGCAGGCGGCTGGTACAGTCCTCCTTGGCGAAGCTTCGGAGCAACACCCAGGGTGGCTCCCTGGAGATGTCTGATGCCCAGGCCGAAGCTCGGAGCAACTCGCGGCGGCAGAACATCGACGAGGCGGTTTTTTGGCCTCTTGGCTGCGCGGACCGGCGGGAGGGGCACCTCTGGATTTGTATTGCTTTTTGACAGCAAAGTACTCCTCTCCACCGATAGACATGTCCAGCAAACATGAGATCAGCCAGGGATCAGTGAAATCCTCTTTGCTTCAGGCGTTAGATGTTCAGTCTGCTGATGTTCACTTTACAGATCGGGACCCCGAATGATACAATTAAGTGAAAAAGCCGGGACCCCATATTTTGCAGAACGACCCCACCCCCCTACCCTGGTCTACCCATCAGGAGCCAGGCAGCTTCTGAGAATAGGTTTGGGCTTAAAAAGTGCGCCAAGAGAGCATTTCAGCAGCTCTCAGCTCTCAGGCCATAGATGTTTCATTTCTCTTCTCCTTTTCCAGATCCGCATGGCACGGCTGAGGTCCGTGGTCTTGGGCTCCAACGTGACGAAGCTCAGGGCCTTGCTCAGAACAGGAGCGAAGACTGCACGAGGTGGATCCGAGCCGACTGGGCTGTGGGGCGCAGAAAGACCCGAGAAATTGACCACGCAGAGAGTCTCAGCGTCCAATTCTCAGCGTCAAATTCCCACGGCTCCAACCTACTAGCAACCTAATAGCGATGGCCTCCACCCTAATGTTGTTATTGTTATTGTTATTGTTGCTTTTGGTTGGGTATTTTGGTTGGTGGTTATTGATTTATTGTAATATAGGTCTTTATTGGGTTTGTCTTTTTTAGGTGTTTAAATTATGTAGGGCTGGGATATTCGACTTAGGCGAAGCATATCCCCGAAGATTACCCTGAAGCATACCTTCTGAAAATGCTACTATTTTAGTCTTTATACTGCACGAAACATACCCCGAAGCATACCCCCAAAGTATACCTCCGAAGCATACCCCATAATCAAACATCCCGGCCCGGAAACCTTAAAAAGATACAAACCCATTGATCGTAGGAAGCCGTAGGACGATAAGAGGAATTAAGCTCGCACGAATTTCGCGCCGGGGCTCGCATAGAGGCTTATATGTTAGTTGTTTCCGCAGAAGCCGGAGGACTTCTGCGCGAATCGCAGACGGGCGGCTTGGCCGTGCTGCTGCAGCATGAGCGTGTGGGAGAGCCGGATTTTTTACGGAAGAGCTCTGGCAGCACATGAAATGGCAATGGATGACGGTGTGGATAGATGTCCTTTCTTTTGTTTTGTTTTGAGGCAGGCGACCAACCAATATATGTTGTTTATTGGGTCTTGATGTGGTTCAGGCTCCACCTTGCACACGAGCTAGTCCCCGAGAAAGCTCAACCATGCCCAAACAGGTGCTTTCTGAAAAGAACTTGTTCGAGGTTTTGAAGTTTTGACGAAGAGACACTCAGCTTGCAATTGCTTCAGTATTTGGATTTCTATCATCCAGAAAGCATGTCAGTGGTAGGTTTCAATTATCTAGTTCACTAGCGCCCTGACCCTCTGGCTACAGGTGCCAGTGCACTTGTAATCCTACTGTTTCTCAAACAGGCCTTTCGGGAGGTACAAGAACCCCTTGAAAGGACCAGCCAACCATGCAATGCAGTTGTTGCAATAATGCCGTTGAAGGAACATTTCTGGAAAATCACATGCCATGCACAAAGCAGCACAACTATAATATACATTATACGTATTTGGGATGTTCGGTCAACGGACAAACAAAATCCTACGCCAACAGAGAAAGGTCCTTTTCATATTCCACTGGGGATCCATTCTCACAGCATCCAACACACTGCAGAGAATTCAATGCCAGACATTTGGGACGGAACAGCACCACTGGTGACCGGATCAGGATAGGCCTCGCTTTGTTGATTGGTTTCATCATGGTATGCATTTCAAGTGGATCCATTGCACCGTTTCTCAAAAAGTATCAAAAAATAATGCCAGAACATGTGTCCAACAAAGCCCTGCATCTCAATAACCTGATCATCAGATCTTATTTATGGTCGACGAATGTGGCCAGATTTACAGAGCCAGATTTACTGACTAGAAAATGCGGCCGATCATGAAAACAGCATTCACTTTGCCTAAGAGTTGAATTGGAGGAGTTCTCCTTGACTCTACAGACGGCTTTGGATCCCAACTCAAAGTAAGAGTTGCCACCTCCTTGCTGGGCTTGCGATCCTCTTGTCTTTCTGAACCTCTGTACCTTGGCACCCAGACTTCTCCAGTTCCGTTCCCTCACCTCACACGACACACGACGAAAACGCACGCACTGAGGAACGCCTTTCGCCTCTTAGAGCTTCATCGCTTTCACCTCAGTGCCGCCCTCTTCTTGCTGAGCGGCGCACCCGAGGCCCGAAGTCCTCGTTCCGGTCCCGACCAAGCTCCGGGGTCATTCCGCTGATCACAGGTCTCAGCCTTCAGAGGTGACATATGTTGAACGGAGGGTTCTGGGAAATGATCCAGGAGATAGCATTTGGATGCATTCGCGGTAGTTGGACCCAAGGACTTTGGCCTAAAAGCACATGCAAAAGCATCGGAATGGGAGACACCATTTGGTGTATGTTACAGTGTGTTCCTTCGAAGAGTGCCATCGTGGCCCGATATATAGATGTTCAAGTTGAGGGAATTCGAAAGAAGCGGCCCGCCGTCATCATTTTGATACTTCACCAGCACCAGCACTCCTTCTGTTCCTCCTCCTGCTCCTCCTCGTCCTCCTCATGCTTCATCCCGTCCGTCAAGCAGAAACTCATAGACTGCAAGTTCACCCTTTTTCCCAGATACGGACCCCCACCATGTTTGCAAACAACCCACAAGAGGGTGCGGCCAGATTCTGTACATAGTGGAGCTGTCATATGTTATACGTGGAAGAATGACCACTGTGGCAAATGCCTGGCATCTTTCCCAGTTATATAGAATATATAGGTTCCCGGAACTCTTCCCTCACCAAAGTTGGGCACATCTCAAAAGAGGAGACGCCGACTTGAGGTCCCCTCCTTATGAGACAAATCCAACCAACGGCCCGGCAGTCTGGCAGGAAGCAGCTTTGGTCCTGTCAAACCATCTCAAAGACCTACAGCTGGTCATTATCGTTACGCGGAGGCCAGGCCGCTGAAGGAGTATCCGTAGAATGTTCGTATGGGCCTAGCATGATAGGCAGGTCAGATGCACGGAAGACTGTGAGCGATGGCCAATGGCCTCCAACCTACCAGCGATAGCCTCCAAAGCTTGTTTCGAGTCCTCATGTGTCTTAGCTGCTCGTGTCTCTTTCCAATGTTCTTGCACTTTATGTGCCCCAAGCGGGGAGACTAGACGAAAGATGGCGCATGATGCATGTGGTGGCGGAAGCTCCCAATGTAGGGGCCCTTTCTTAAACCTCTGCTGACTGGACTGGACTGGGTGTGGAAACCTGAACGATTCCGTGTGAATGCCGGATATGTGAGCCCAGTCTTCAAGTAAACCTTGTTGACCCACGACTAGCCTGCAGACGACTTCTGGACGGATGGAGACTAGTTCCTTTCCTTCCAGTAGAACGATTGACGGAGAAACTCCACCGGAAGCTGGACATGGACTTTGGGCAGATCTGTTTTCTCTGATGCAGTGCTTTTGGGATGTTTTTGGGGGATCCAGGGTCGATGCCGATGTCTCAAAGGCTCTGTCGGATGTTCCCCGGCGAGGCATCAAGATGTTTGTGCTGGGATCCTCAAGAATGTCCTGACCGAGCAGGAGACTTGAGCGGCCGAGCGGCCTATTCACTGAGGTTGGTTGGATTGTTACAAGGGGAAGAGTTCTGAACTTCTGGACTGTGTCATCTTCTGGCCTGTAGGGTACATCAGTGGAAGGACACCCTCTCAGAGGATCTGCCTTGCAACTTGCGACTGTCCAGAACCTTGGAGTACCAACGTCCTGTAGCACCGTACTGACATGGGAAACCATGGGGCTTCGCGGAAGGAAAGAATGAGCATCATCAGTAGCATTGTCAATGCATTTCAACTGTCTGAATTCCGTCTTTTTCCTTTGCTCTCTTTCAACAAACAGCTCTCGTTCAACGGTGACCCATCGTCCATTTTCGGTCATGACTTTGCCTTTATTTTTTGCCAACCTGGTTGCGTTGAAACAGGAGAGCGCTGATCCTTGGCTCCGCTTTTTGATGGCGTATCATGCTGGTGACCTTGAGCTTTGCCGACGTCTGGCCGATGGCACCGAACGCAGCAGTGCGCCGTTTCCATCTGTGTTTGGGCTGAACTGGGTATTCGAGTGAACCGGACATTCGTCAAAGGAGTTGGAGTTGAATGGGGAGTGATGTCACGAATGTTATTCTCGATCTTTGGAATCTGGCAGTGCTTGCGTCCCTTCTGCTTGACCACCACATCCCAGGGGCTCACACTCGAGAGGATGAGGTCTTATCAAACATCAGCAACTCAGGAATACACACATAATTTGTACTTGATCATACGTACTTGATCACAGAATCATGCTCGTATAAATAGAAGAATCAACACTTGTTCTTCCTCGGCAAAGGAAGTGGGACGTCGTTCCGCGGTGCCGGTCGTTCTCTCCGGAGCTCCGAACGACAAAGGCTCGGTTCCGCTTGTTGTTCACTTCCGCTGGTGTTAAGCTTGTTCGCAATCAACAACGCAAGAACACATTGAAGAGCATCTTGATGTTCTCCCTCACTATTCCCTAGAGAAAAACAGCTCTCATGCACCTTGGAATCAACAGGCGCATCAACAGATGCTTCGGCTTGGTTCAGATGCAGATACCTGGGAAGCTTTTCAGTCCACACACCTGAAACACAACCAGATCAGATCACAGATGATCACAGATGAGTTAGTTCATTGGTGGTGTTTTTCTCAGAGTCCAACTGTTCAGACAAAAATCGATGGTACTCTTCCCTATTCCACTCCAGGAGATATCGTTTGTTGGATTCGTTAGAATGCAATGGGTACTTTGTCTCGTTGGGCTGGTTTGGCAGAAAGACATTCGGGGGGTGGCAGCTTGCTACATAGCTTTTCCAACATTTTTTTCAGATCAAAACCATGAACTGTGACTTGTTCGCTTGTGGATGGGGTCGGTGGCCGGGCGAACAAGGAAGCGGAAACAAACCTGGACGAATCGGTTGACCGGCCACCGCTCGGGCTAGAACCACCGACAGGACCCACCTTCCACATTGATTCCGGGCCCTCACAACCAAGATCAATGTGGGGGAAGGTATGTCAATGGGAAGCCACCGAAAGGGCCTACCTTCCTTCTTGCATTGATCCCCCATGAGACTGCTGTCCGGCATTCGCTGAGAATTGCCGAAGACACCCGCGACTAGGTCGAGCAAGAGCTGTTCGACCACTCCTTGCGCCCCACACCGGGGGATGCCAATGGGCTGGCCAGAGTTGCAGATCAACTCTTGCACTGACGCCAGTTTCAATTGTGTGGCTGAATTGGGTCAAGATCCAATGCAGGCAGCTTTCTCACATGGAAGTGCAGCATGACATACACTCGTACCGACCTTGAAGATTGAGCTTCTACTGGCCGCCCTTGCTCTAACAAACATGGACGTGCATGGGCTCTCACGCGACAGGATCAACGTCACCCAGGGTTTGTATGTCGGATGAATCCGTAAAGATGCCACAAATATGATGGCAACAACCCGATCAACTGAAGGAGGGATCAACTCCTGTGTGGTCTGTGATGAAAGGTCGACCAGTGTGCCATAGGTCGACCAGTCTAGTTTCCTAGTTAGCCGATGAGGATCTTGACCTGCCGCCGCAGATGAATTGTTTTGGATTTGAAGGAGCGTGATCTTTAACCGGCAGGACCGGGCCTCTCTAAGATTGTTTGCTTTGCCAGAACTGGTGCGCATGCAGCTTCCAGCGAAAGCCACCCAACACAATCTTGACCATGCCCCTGGACTAGAATGACTGGAAGTTCATGGCCATTCATAGGCATTTTGCCCCCAACAGGCTTTCCAAGTTGAATGATTGGCCCAAGCTTGATGAACTCCACCCTGGCGGTGGACCCAAATCGCCGGGGGACCAGCTTTTCCAAGAATCCGGTGCCCCGTGCGGTGCGTCTTTCGGCTGGCAGGTACAAGGTTGCCTGCCGTGCATCCACCCCAATACCCTGGGTGTAGATGGACATGATAGACCACCAACTTGGTCGACTGATCTCATGTCCGCACTCATTAGCAGAGCAAAGATCTTTTGTCAATTATTGCAAGCGTCGTCCAAAAGAATGTCCGCCCACGGTCGGAGAGATCTCTGGTCGGTCCACGGTCGGCGGTGCTGATCCTCCATCAATCGGCCATGACCCTTCGAACTATTGTACTGTGAATGTCTCGTTCGACCCCACCCCCTTGTTACGCCATCCTCGACCACACCGGGCTTTGGATATGCCGTATGACTTAGTCACACCAGCAAGGACAAAGGAAGTACCCAGCAGATACGGCAGGTGATCCGAGCAGATCTGCTGTGTGTATTGACACAGGAGACTCTTCTGATTCATTTGGGATCTGCGTGTTTTCGACTGCAAAGGCATTGAAGATGATGATGACACTGACAGCGATGAGGAAGAGGAAGAGAAGGAGACCTGGTGGTGATTCTTCAATCAGCATATGACGGCAGGAGAAAAGGCATGTGCAGCGTTTATGGTTAGTTATATGCGACAGTTATTCTTGCTTTGTTTTCTTCTCCAAAGAGTCACACATTATCCTCAAGAGCTTGACGAGACCCGCACCAGGAGAAACTGATCCCCGGAAGCTCTACTTGACAAAACACGTATCTTTCTTTTCCCCAACTTTTTTTTTCATATTTTTCAATGTCAGCTGGTATATTTCTGCATACACAAAACCAAGGAAGCTTTCAAGCAATACTGCTCTTTGAGAAGGGCGCCATGTTTCACAGTTTGTGAAAAAATATGGCATCCGACTGCGTCACATGAAGTGGTCGTTGTGACGAAGTCGTGGCTTCACGACTGCACAATTGCTCCAGCATTTCTTCAGAACCACCCAACATCAGCGAACACCGTGTGTTGTCACCTGGGTTGCCACCTGGAGTGTCACAAGTCAAAACTCTCTAAAGCACACCGTGAGTCAAACATTTGAGTGTCACATGGAGTTTGAACCACAGCACACAGCTCAAAAGCGGGTGACAAGTCCCAGTTGAATAGTCTGCAATCAAGCGTTTCAACTATTTCAACCTGAAGTGGATTAAATTGTGGAAGACATAGACTATATATACACACTGTACGATGTTCAAAATCAATGGTAAGTATATGTTCCTCCAGTTTTTGAATCCGCCAAGCATTCGAAGGTGATTCCTTGGAGCTTCCTTCTTTGCCATTTCCGCAACTGCCAACTGCCCTCCTTCTTCAACAGCTTCACTCTCTTAGTTGGAGGCCATCGCTATTAGGTTGGAGGCCATCGCTTCATGCAAATAACTGCAAATATGCTCAGCTCTATTCATGTTTCATTCTCGTTTCAAAACAAAAGCTCAGCTCCAGCTCGAGGAGCTCACGGAGCTCCGGAAATTCCACCACCTGCCGGAGATGCCACGGGAGCCAGGGGGCCCGGTGGATGGAGCGGGTTTGGAGGTCGTTCCGGTGGAAGGAGTTTGAACCACGTGGGATGGTTCAGAGAAAAAGGATGTCACAAATTCATTCAGGTGAGCTCATGAGGTTGCTGGAAATTCGGCGTTCAAGATGCCCAAGTCATGTGATGCAAAGACAGACCTTTCAAGCTTCAGATGTTGGTAAATCACGAGGGAAGAAGAGCTGGGTCCATCCTTCGCAAACGCACCACGCAAACGCAGCGTTCACACACAGTTCCGGTGGTTGGACTTTTGTTGGGATTTTCCTTGTTGAGCGTCCTTGCTCCTAGTAGCGATGCCAGGAGCCCCTAGTAGCTTCT